AGACAAAAACATAAGGGTTGAGGACTGGATTAGAGACATGAGGTACACGCTAGGAGCAAAGGGCTTAGCTACTGAGAGCATGAAACTACAGGAAATTGTGCGGAACACCAGTGGACGGGCACGGGACGTTGTCTTAAACTTGGAGAGTTGGAGTAACGGAGCAATGGTCGAAGATGCATTCAGAGAGCTGCTAGAGGAGTTTGGGGAGGACAGCCTCATGACCTCTACCATGACACGCTTCTACTCACGCGAGCAGAAGTCAGTGAGATAAGCGGTAGCATTGGAGGCCCTCCTGCGGAGACTGCGTAACACCAGCCTATTTGGGGACAGCAGGGATGTCCTCTTCACCACGCAATTCATGGCCGGGCTGCACGACTGGAGGACGAGGCAGAGGCTGGCCCCAATGGAGCCACGAAAGATGGAGTTCAACGTCTACGAGCAGAGTGTAGAGTAATAACAGAGGAGCAACACCGCAGTGACGACCAGATGAAGCGTAGGGTTGGAGGTGTAAATGAGTACCTGTTATTCGCAATGAGAGAGGTAGCAGGCAAGAAATCAAACAAGGCATCGAACGATCCTCCTAAGCAGACTTCCGTGGAACGAGCCAGTACATCGATGCCCACCAGTGAAGCAGCAAGTAGTCCTCGGCTGGAAGAGCTGCTGACGAAGCATCTGCAAGAGATACAGGCCATGCACCTGGAACAGAAGGAGGCCCTCCTGCAGGTGAGAAGGGACCAAGGCTATCTATACCACCGGCTGGTACAGCTCGAAGAAGTCGTGTTTGAGGTTAGAGCACCCCGACAACCATATCAGCCGACTAATCAACACCACCAAAACCGTCCACAATATTCGGGGTGCTACAACTGTGGAAGCAAGTGCCACCTGGCGAGGAGCTGTCCAGAAGAACGACAACCACCCCGACAACAGGCACCCCACCGACAGCCAAATGTCCCCAGCAAGCAGCTTCACGGCAGCTGCACCAAATCACTACTCAGCCGAGGCCGTTAAACCGGAACAACCCGCTAATGTAGGGCTATCATCGGGTTCTGCAGGAAAATGCCCTCCCCTAACTCTGTCAACAAGTACTCGGGACACGGCACAACTAGCGTTGGCTGGACCAGTTAATAGGGCTGAAGTCAAGATTTCCGGAGCCCCCTGTACAGCGCTACTGGATACTGGGTCCCAGGTTACCACGATCACCCAAGAATTTGTTAGACAGCACCCTGTACTGAACAGCCAGGAACCACAACCTACAGAGTTGTCCATCAAGGGAGCCGGAGGCCAGCCAGTCCAACACTTTGGCATTATCGTGGTGGAAGCGCAAGCTATAGGCCAGTCTGTTGGTAGGGTCCTCGTCTTCGTGGTACCACATGTTGAATTTCGCCGAGACACCCCAGTCCTTATTGGTACCAATGTTATTCGTGCCTGCCGAGACCAGATGAAGTCGACGTTAGGAAAGTGCTACACGGAGAGTCACTTGCTGTCACAGTCTTGGATTCAGGCTTTCCAGTTTGTCAACGGGGATGGAGGTGATCTTGCAGGGAGAGACGGGGATATTGAGTGCTTAAAGTACGTGGGAAGACGCCACCTGGTGATAAAACCTGGTGCAGCAGTTACACTTTCGTCCAAGGTGCCAATTCACACCCAAGGGAGGAGCTTCACTGCATTAATAGAAGGTAATGACAGTAAGGGCCTTGTTGCAGGACGAATGCTGGTGGATATGAATGGCCAACGAGTTCCAGTACGGATATGTAATACGTCTGACCGCACAGTAAAGCTCCGACGGCATGCAGAGGTGGCAACGCTCTGTCATTGACCATGGAAATCATTGACCATGGAAACTCAGCGAGAAGTGGTGGCAACAAAGCAAGCCGGTGACGACTCCTATGTTTTGCCAAAAGTCGACTTCGAGAGTGTTGACTTTACCCCACCCCAGAAGGCAGCAGTTGAGCAGCTACTCGAGCAGAATGCTGCTGTATTCTCCCAAAGCCACTTAGACATGGGTACCACCAGTACCGTAGAACATGAAATCCCACTGACTGACTCGACCCCCTTCCAGCTGCCCTATAGACGGATCCCCCGTCACAGTACCAGGAGATCCAAAGTCACCTAGAAGAGCTACGACATGCAGAGGTTATCCAGCCAAGCCAGAGCTCCTATGCATCTCCAAGACGGCGTTCTCCAATCCGGGTTTTTAACCAAGGCAAGAGAATATGTGTCGTTCGAGAGGGGACCATGGCTGGAAAGGTGACCAACATAAGTGACGATGGTGTCGTAGAAGTTATCCAACAACCTCGGTC